AAAAAAAAAAAAGATATAAATAATTTTGTTCCTTTATACACATACCTGGTAGAATTTAATTCATAAATTAGGCTCACAAAGGGCTTAAAATTTAATAGTAAAATAAAAAATATATAAAAATATACTGTAGTGAGAGTTGTTTAAAATTTATGAATATATTAGTTTTGGAATTTTCCATTAAATTTTTCAGATTGGGATTTAACATGGATAATTGAAATGCTTGAAAGAAAAGCAAAAGTAAAGGGAGACTAAAGTTGTCATATTGACTTAATCACCACATAAACTTTTGACTTAAGTCAAATATATGATGTAAAATTGTTTCAGGTTTTTGAATAGTCTCACTATTTCACTTTTTTAATCTCTTCTTAGCATCCATATTTTCTATAATGACTGCATGGCTTTGTCTTCTAATCTGTCATATTCTTGGGCCCTTCTGTTCTATGTCAGCATCATTGCTGATTCTTCATTTTGTAGAAAGTGTTTATTGTAGTGCGCAAGAGCATTGTCTTTACACCTTATCTAATCTTTTTTAATGCTTTGCATTTAAGTCTCATGTACGTATAGATATTTAAAAATATTTTACTTCAAAACTTTTATCATTTTGAATGCTTTTATAGATCTCATTAATCTTTGTTCTCTTATTCCCTACCTACAACTAATATACTAATAATTAATTTGTGAGTTATATGAACATATTTACTATATTTACTTAATTGTATGCATATTTGTTGCACATATCTTTTTGTTTTATTTTCATTTTAACTGTTTTTTTTTTTCTTTTTGGTGCCAGGGATCAAACTCAGGATCTTGCACTTGCCAGGTGGGCACTTAAGCTGCTCAGCTATTTTCCTGGACTTCATTTTTACTTTTCTATACCATATTTTCTTTGGAATATACTGGCTCTTGATAAATACATGCACGCATTTATTAATGTTATTATTTTTATTTCATCATTTTTTTTTTTTTGGTGGAACCGGGCATTGTATTTAGGCCCTTGCGCTTGCCAGGCAGGCGCTTATTCTACTGAGCCATCTCCCTGACCCCTCATAATTTTCAATTACAAAATATATTTATAGTTAATTATAGTTTCATTAATTTAACTCACAAATTTAAATTAAAAATTGCAGTCTACCTCATCAAATCACTATTTATTTATTTATTTTTTTGGTGGAACCGGGGATTGAACTCAGGCCCTTCCACTTGCCAGGGAAGCACTTATTCCACTGAGCCATCTCCCACACCCATCACTTCTGATCTGAAAATCTCCTGAGATTTAGATGTTCAGCTAGTGCTTCTCAGTAGTGTCGATATCCATAGATCAACAAATTTTACATTGCTTGATCAAGTGAAGGAAGCAAGGAAGGGAGGAGAGAAGGAAGAAAGGAGGGAATGAAAACTAACATTCCTTTGCAATAGACAATATCTTTAGTAATTTTACTAAGCAAGCCATGATTATCTCCTTGCGTGTGCACACACTTTATGCTTAAAATGTAATACTATAAAATTATGGCTTGCATGTGCATTACTTCATATATTTATGCAATATCTATCTTAATATGACACAGTAAGAGTGTGTTTACTTACAGAAAAATTACTTCCATGTTTATGTTGATTTTTTTTTTCTAACTTGAAGATTTATTTTTGTAACTTCTTGAAACAGAGAAAACGACATGCTCTTGGGGAAGTGGAGTGGACAACAGGCCCTGGTAAGTGGTCACGACAGCACCTGGAGTTGAGGCCTGTCTAGGAGAGCACCACACTGCCATGCAGCACGGGGGACAGCTACTGTCTGAGGCTTGGCAGGCTGTTCTCTTGCCATGCAAAGCCACTATAGGTCCAAGTCATAAAAGTCTTCCAGCTCATCGTGATACAAGTCCCGCTCATTCTCAGACTCAGTCCGCTCGTCATCCCCACCTGCAGCCAAAGCATAAGCAACATCTCGCTCAGCTCAAAGGTGACCACCTCCTCTTCGTCGTTGTCAAAGGGGCTGCTGTTCTCTTTTTCCTCAATGAGCTCCCAGAAGTGGTTCCTCCATTGGGCTTGGTATCTGCTTGATGTTCCCACTTTCTGTCTCTGTGGCTCCTCTCTACGGCCATCAGGGTACGCATGCTTGTAAAAACAGTTCCCTCCAAATGGGCAGCTCCCACGGCCTTCATCAAAATGCCTGCTTGCCTTGTTGCTCACTGCCTCCTTGTATTTCTGAATGAGTTTCTGCTTCTCTTCTTTCTCTTCCACCCAGTACTCACTTGGAATGACAAAGTTAGATGTGATCTGGCATTTGGGGCAGGACTTTATGATCTTGCTCTCAAATTGCTTAGCACTCCTCCACTTGGGAATACACTTGAGACAGTAGGTGTGACTGCAGTTGGAGAGGATGCCGAAGGGCGCTCACTGGGGTTGGCTTTCTCATACACCACCTCCGTGCAGATGCCACACATCTTGTCTTTGCTGCGCTGCACGGAAAAGGACAGCTCCGTGTCCTTCTTGTGGGCCTCGATGCAAGATTTTATGTGCTGGGACCTCTGGGCTGTATCCACCAGGTGCAGGACCTGTAGCCCGCACATGTCGCAGGCGTCACGGTGCAGGTACACACCGTTCTCCCCGTGGCAGCACTCGCCCACTTGGGGGCATAGGGGCACAGCTGCTTCCTGGTCTCCACCGCAGCTGGCTCCTTCTGGGACTCCGCCTTGGGCCCTGGACCTTGCACTGAGGCCTCTGCGCACGCAGGAGCAGTGCGGCCGCAGTAGGGCTGCCCGGGCACAAACTCGATGGCATTCATCCAGTCCTCGGACCCTGCGCCCACTGCAGGGAAGTTCCCATTTGTGGACTCAGCCTCTCCCGAATTCATCTCCACAAGTGGTCCAGGGACAGAGGAGAGACTTGAGGCAGCGGCAAGGGATGGTTCTGCGGTTCTATCAGCAGCAGCTGCTTCTTCCTGTTTCAATGGCTTGCCGTGCTCATATCTGCAGCAGTCTCCATACACACAGCTCCCTCGCTGGAAATACTTGCACACTACACCATAGGGACTGTCACAAAGGTCATGTGAGTAGCGACAGTTATCTCCTTCCTTACAAACCCCACGCATGAAATACTTTGCTTCCCCATTCGGGAACATGTTCTCTTCGCTGCTTCCTGCTGCGGCTGCTGGTGCTGCTGCACTAGAGCTACAACAGCGCGCTCCAAGTCTCACGGACCTTTTGCCTCTTTGCAGGTGGTTCAGGAGCAACTTCCCTTTTTCCTCTTTAACTGCTTTGCTAGCTTTGTTGCAGGCAGCTGCTTCCTAAAGATAAGCACTGGGAATTGATCATTACCTTGAGGAAGCCAGGAACATCACCACTCCAACTGCTACTGGCGACCGGATAAACTCCTGTTCTCTACTGATCTTATGTTGATTTCTGAAGGAATTTCAGGAATGATTTTGATTATAATCTTTCCCTCCTTCTCAAACTGGGATGTAAACACTTTTACATTATCTTTTTTTGCTGTAGCATTGTTGCATAAGAAATAATGTGAAAAACAAAGGACTTAATGCATAAGCGCTTATTTGGTGCTAATCTCTACATGAATCAGAATGATTTTACTTGGCTGATGTACAGGCATCAGTTAGACCTGGTTCCAAAGTGTTTTCATCTTTAAAAATGCTCCCTGCGCTTCAGTAGCCAAGATGCGAGTCAAGCGGCATGTCCTCTCTGGGATGTGAACGTCTTGGACCAGTGGATTGGAGCGCGAGGGAGGATCAACGAGTGGGTGAAATCATGCAGAGAACTTCTGCTTGGATATACTCATGTGATATGCCCCAGTTCGCATTTGGTCAAAGTGATTATGTGGTTAAATATGATGCAGACAGGATAGTGAATGCAATTACTCCCGTAGAAGGGCCTAAGGAAGTCTGCATGCGACCTCTAACACAGTGTATCCTACTATGTGAGTACTACATCACAGTCAGTTAAAATTTCCTGTGAAAATCTCTGTAATGTACAGACATGACTGTGGCACAGCTTAATGTTATTTATTTTAAAAATAAGGACTTACTTGATTTCAGAGACCTGTATTTTCTGAAATTTAGATTCTTTTGATTTCAGGATTTTAAGAAGATTTTAAGCAGCTTTTCCTAGTTTCTTCTGAGTTGTCATAGTTTGTGAAAAAATATCAAGCAAGGTGTTTGTTAGAGATTTTGGCACATGCCCTGATATGGTCTGCTAATTAGCATTACAGCAGGATGACTGAAATAACAAAGAAGTGTTATTTATGGCGGTCTAAATTTCTTCACAGTAAATTTGTTTACCATTAACTCTTCTTTGCAGGGAAAAATATTGCTATAGCTATGCTTAATGCGATGTATAAATCACACTTAATGGACTACAACTCAGCTTTGTATCGATTTATGACATTCAAGTATGAAGCTGGTGTCTATCTTTCTGTGATTAGTTCAGGAGTGTTGAAGTATTTACAGATGGAAATAAGTTTTATCTGTTAAAAGATAGTAGCCATAGAACACTGTGTGTCTTTTTATTCTGTGATTCTAAATATTGAAATAATAAATATAGCCACTTAAAATTAGAAAAGGAAAACTTTTAGGCAATTTACAATTTACAGGCAATTTGCACATGTTAACTGAGGAAAATCAGGGAAAGAGAGAGAATGGGGGAATTAGGACCCTTAATTTTGAGGGACAAGAGAATAAAGAGAGAAAAGAAATATAAATACTAATGAGACCATTCTATTTTTTCAGGTTTTCTTTTTTTTTTTTTTTTGTACCAGGGATTGAACTCAGGACGTTGTGCTTGCCAGGCAAGCACTTATGCCACTAAGCTAACCCCTTGGCTTTTCAGTAGATTTTGTCGCTTTGAAATTTAGACTTACACAAAAGCCTAGATCAAGCTGGTTACCGTGTTTGTGGATTACTTTGTTGCCTATGATTTTGAGTGATGATGGGGTGTCCTTCAGTTTTGACAAAAAGAATAAAATTATGAACATAGATAACACTCAAAAGCTTTTACACATTGTAGTAATTTATTAGTTTTACTATTTTATGTTAAAGAGAATAAAAACAATAAAAATGTTACAAAATTCAGAATAAGATGACAGGAAATTAATAATAGTTTTTATATTGTATATTGTTAACTTTGAAGCAGTTGATCAGATTAACAGATATAGACATGTAGGTTGAACAAACAAAATAAGTTTAAGTGTTCCTTTCAATGAACTAATAGAAATTAGTAGCACAATTAACTTAGCTATTTTATGTATATATGTATATGCATATTTTCTTTCTTTTTTTATCCTTTTCCCTGTCCCAGTTGTTTTTTCCTTCTAAGAATTTTTTTTCCTCTTTAACAGTATTTATTGAACATTTTGGATTTTATTTACTCTTACACTAGGAAGACAATATGATGTATTAAAATTTTTTTGAAGATCAAAAGAAACCACCAACAAATTGAAAAATAAAAGCATATGAACTGAGAAAATCTTTTATCCAACTGTCCTTCAGACAAAGGACTTTCATCAAGAACATATAAAGAATTGAAGGGCAGCCAGAGAGCCAAGCAGATTAAAGCACTGCTTAGGCAGACAAAAGGGCTGGGTGTTCCATCTCTGGCCTTTCATGCCAGCCCCATCCCTGGGGTGCACTGAGACAGGGACTGAGGCTGGGCATAGTGGCACGCACCTGTAGTGCCAGTGCTTGGGAGGCTGTAAACAGGAGAATCACTACAGGTCTGATCTACATAGTGAGAACCTGACCCTTCCCTAAAATACAGAAAACAACAAAAACAAAAACAAGCAAACAAACAAACAAAAAGAGAACCACAAACACATATTGGGGGGGGCTGTGGGGAGAAAGGAAGCCTTCTCCACTGTTGGTGGGCATGTAGACTGGGAGGTTCCATTCTACCCAGCTATTCCCCTTCTGTGTATCTTCCCAGAAGGTGTGACATCGATTATCATATTGACCATCACATGATCAGAGTTGATGTTAGAACACGATAAACAGTATTGGTACTGCTTGTAGCAGATGAAAGCCTTCCTAACTTCTACTTAGAGTAATTCTTCAAACACTGACGATGTATCAACTTTTAAGTGGCTTCTCAATAAAATATTTTGCCTTCTGACAGAAATAACAGTTGTGAAAAGAGAATGAATCACCAATGGCCTTCTGCTTTCTTCTGTTCTAAAATGCATCATGCTGCCTGGAAATGCACTGGACGTGCTGAAACCACAATGGACCAGGAGCAAGGATAAAAGACAAAGTGCTCGCAATATCAGGAAACAATCAATCTCCCAGACTGCTTAGATTTTCAGTCTCCTTATCAGTAACAAACATTGCCTATGTCTACTTATCTGAGGGAAACAAAAATTCCTATTATTTAAGCATTCACTTCTCAAATTTTCAGTTCTTTGTTTGCCCAAAACTCTCTTACATAGCATACAATATTTATGTAGAGTAAATAATAAAAAAGAATTTCTGGTTAGAGAGTACCCACATTCTGTTATAACTAGCAATATTAATTTCCTGTCAAAATGTAATACAACTCTACTTCCTGTGCAAAAACCAAATGGTGATTGCTGTTTTGATACAAAACTATAGAATATTAAATTGTTTACATGTTCACTAATATGTATCAAATATTCAGTAAATATGCCCAATAGGGGCATATTTGTAAGTGCAGAAAATAAAGCAAATATGGCACCACATTTCCACATTTCAAATTATGCCTTCTAAATGACTGTCTTTCATACGTACGACAAAATAATGCACTTGGACTAAAACATTTTATATTTTGCACTGTTACTGTGATTGGGACCAAGAAATAATATAGAAAGAAGTTTGAATCAGAGAGTCTATAAATTATCTGACTGAGGACAAAATTTTGTAAAGATCTTAGTACCTCTATGATGAAAGCCCACAAAACTTTCATGAGCCTCAGTTTCCTCACCTATGAATTGGGGCTGTACCAATAACCATTATAAGACCTCTAACTTGGGCCAGCCAAATAGCACAGTGGATTAGAACACCTGCAAGCAGTCGCAGGAGCTAGAGTTTGATCCCAGGCCTGTCGTGCTGGCCCAACCCCGGGACGCACTGAGATGTCAATTGAGACTGGCCGTAGTGCTGCGCGCCTGTAATCCCAACCCTTGGGAGGCTGTAAACCGGTGTATCACTACGAGCCCAATCTAGTAGTGAGACCCTGAACACCCTGTAGATCCTTCCTCAAATACCAAAACAAAACAAACAAACAAACAAACAAAAAACCAAAAAAAAAAAAAAACCCTCTAACTTATATAAAACATCTAGAGCAGGACCCGTCATACTTCAACTGATCGTGTTATGGAATTTTTAATATATTTTATAATTACTTTGCTGTATATGTATATCACAAATTGTAGAATATTGGTTTGTACATAATTGCTTTATTGAAATCTTAATGCTTAAAATAGTGTATTGGTTACCTCTACACATTCTAAATATTTAGTAATATTACCTGAAAATGTTCATAATTTACTTATCTCTTTCCAGTATTTAGGTTTTCTATATTTCTGATCTAATAAAATTGAGCAGCATTTTCAAAAATATTTAATGTTTATATTAATTCTTTCTAGTTGAAATTCTCTTCAGCTATTTTACCCTTGCCTCTAACATTAATTCCTGTACTAAATACAGTAATAAAATGTTACTATATTTTTGTACCATCCCATTAATTAACTAGCAGTCTCTTTGTTAAGTACACGTTTCATGAATTATCAGGTTTCTTTTATATATTTTGAGTAGATAGAATTTCTATTCTTTGAAACAAAATTTTCTATTAAAAATGAAAATTTTTATTTTAAAAATTCTTTTCAAGAAGTCTTCATTTTTTGCTGTCTTGTTATTTTATTTACTTATTTATATTTTTTAGTACAGGATCTCCAGGGTCTCACTCTGTAGATTGGACTTGTAGTGATCCTCCTGTCTTCAGCCTCCCAAATTCTGGGATTACAAGCATGTGCCAACATGTCCAGTTTCAACTTCACCCTCAGTGCACCCCAGGGGCATGGATTGAGTGCCCGGCCCCTGAGTCTGCCTAAGCAGGTGCTTTAATCCACTGAGCT